ACCTCAACAGCTCCTCTTGATCTACAAAGCGCAGATACGGCCTGTTCTAGAATACTGTTCCCATATATGGGGTTCAGCACCAACACATACGCTGATGCTCTTAGATTCCATCCAGAGAAGAGCCATTCGCCTGGTGGGTGACGCCATACTCACTCACTCTTTGACATCATTGGAACACCGTAGAAAGGTCGGCGACCTTTCACTTTTCTATCGATACTTCCACGGAAAATGTTCTTCGGAAATCTCTGCTATCATCCCTCCACTAGCAATACCAATCAGACGAACTAGACAAGCCCAGTCAGCACATCCTTTCGTTGTCAACCTCGAAAGATGTCGAACAGCACTTTATCAAGACTCCTTCATCCATAGAACGGCTAGGCTCTGGAATTCATTGCCTGTGGAAGTATTCCCAACAACATATAATCTCCAAAAGTTCAAAAAAAATTCCAATACCTACCTCCTGTCCCTATCCTCCCTAGGAACGCACGATGTTCTTTGAACATTATAGGGATTCCCTTTCGTGCGCTCCAAGCGATAAAAAAAAAAAAAAAAAAAAAAAACAGACAACCAATGATTATAGTTATGCATGTCTGCCCAGTCATACAGTTTATATATTTTTTTCATATTATTTGATATTCATTTATGCATATATTAATATATCTATTACACTCTATTAGGATGCCTAATTGAAATGGACATCTCTATCTATCTATTGTCTGCACACAGCAGATGAATCTTTTCAGCACACCATTTTTATTGCTTATTTCTTGATTTTTCCCAGGGGTAAAATGTTGATCACCTAACTTCAATTTATCAAGTGATTCCAAATAATTCTAATTATCGTTTGGGTGTTCACTACTCTTACCCCTAGGATTTTTTCTTCTTCAGACGTGAGTTGAATGAGAAATTTTTTGTAATAATTGTACCAGTTCCATTGCACCTAGTTTCGAAAATATTGAGGAAAGTGATGAGGAAAATATAAGTTCAATAATCAATTGCAAGTATCCTTTTGTCAAAGAAATTTATACCATAATTACTTCATGATACATACCGAGAAGTGCCCAAAAAACGGCCAGTGCTGTAACTTATGAGTAATTCGAGATTTGATTTTGAAATTTGGTGGGTGTGAAGTGTACCAAATTGACAATTTTTTGACAATAAAATATTTGTTTCATCACTTCTGGTTGAACCGGAAATAACCCTAACCATAGGTTTCCAAATAGAGGATATCCTGTTTACTTTTTCATTTTTGGATTCAGGGAATCATTTTTACATACTTTAACAAGGAAACTTTCCTGATATTCTGAAAATATCAGAATATACAGGTTGTACTTTCTGAAAATCAAAAGTTGGGGTTGCTTCCGGTTGAAGCAGAAGTGATAAAATGTATATTTTTCAATGAAAGGCAATTTGGTATACTTACTACCCAACAAATTTCAAAATCCGATCTTGAATGATTAAGTAGTTACAGCTTAGGCCGTTTTTTGTGCACTTCTCTGTATTGTAAATTTTTCCATTATTGGAATTGAGAATTTTCTCAATTTGATAGATCTGATATAGGATTTTGTATCATTTTTGAGTCAATATACAGGGTGTTCCGAAACTATTGTGCCAAAATTCAAGGGTTGGTAGATCTCGCCAAAACAAACGTTTTTTACTTATTAACCCATAGGCGCATGCGCATGCGTTTAGTGATAATAGCACATTAAGGTCCGCGCAGTGGTATCCCCTCGGACACGGGGAAACGTGTTTGTACCGGAAACCGTGTTAGTAAATAACATTGAATCACAAGCAATATTTGGGAGAGTTTATTAAAAAAAACACCACAATTTAGATTGAGTTAGGTTTTACACATTGCCACGACGCAATAATTAATGAGAAGCCTACGCAATACGAGTGTCCAAAGCGCAGCGATTGGTCTCGATTCTCAAAATCGGTAGAGCTGAGCACTCAATATCGATATTATTTATTTATGTATGTACATGGGCTGGGCTGGTGGCCGTGAGCGTAGAGTCGCTGGCTGTTGCCCAGGCGGTCCGGGTTCGATCCCCGGCGCGAGCACTGAATTAATTTTCGGTAGTTTCGTTGGGCGGGAGGAGATAGGTGGCCAACCCAACATACTTGGTACCTAGATATCAATCCTTTGGACTGTCCACGGTTACCAGCCGAGTAGTGCTTCGGATGACACTTAAAAAGCTAAGGTCCCTGTCTTCTTAACTCACACAAGTCTCTGACTTTCGAGGGTTGCTTTGCAACTAAGCTGGCGGTTAAAAACACTTTTAAAACACTTTTAAACACTTTTAAACACTTTAAACATACGTCAAAATCGGTAGAGCTGGGCACTCAATATCGATATTATTTGCGTATGCACATATGTTAAACTTTTTTCTTGTGATACCTATTGGTACCGAAATAAGGTGCATGCGCCTATGGGTTGATAAGTAAAAAACGTTTGTTTTGGCGAGATCTACCCACTCTTACATTTTGGCACAATAGTTTCGGAACACCCTGTATAATAATTCTGCAAAAAGTTTCAATAACAAGTCACAGTTTTGATTCTTTGGGAGATATTTTCCATAGGAAATGTATTAACAAATATATCAATTACATAGGTATATCAGGAGCATAGACGGCACTTTTGGCTTCAAAAATGAAGTTTTCCAAATGTTGAAGGAAACAACACGAGATTATAAGGAATGGCAGATGCATGGCTCTTCACTCATTGATGAGTGTAAAATAACTGCCACAAAAAAGTTCGATAAAAATAGCATGGAGTTCATTGTTTTCGTTGATCTTGGCAGTTACACTCCAAAAAAACAGGAAAATACACTGGGAGACCATGCTCTGGTAGTCATGTTTCAGCCTTTCGCAGGAAAGGGGTTACAGGCTCTGGGATGTTTCCTCACAAAGGGAAATATAAGAGGGGAAATCCAGGCTAAGATAATCCTTGAATGCATGATCTTGTGTGAACACTCAGGGCTTCGCATTGATGTGATTACTACTGATGGGGCTACATGGAACCAGACAATGTGGAAACATCTAGGTGTTGAAAGTCCATTGGAACCCTGGTGTGAACATCCAATGGATTCCAATAGAAAATTGAGGATGTGTTCGGACTTTCCCCATCTTATAAAATGCCTTCGAAACAACCTGGAAAAAAGAAGACATTTCAAGTATGAATTTTACGATTATTGTATCGGATAATACAGATTTCAGAACGTATTTTAGGCTCCTGAAGGTGTTTTGCAATACTCTCATCTTGAACTATTACAAAAATATGAATCAATGAAGGAATTTAGAATGGCATTCAAATTAACCCCCAGTCACATTCATCCCAAATGAGGGGAAAAAATGTGTACTAGACTGGCATTCCAGGTATTGTTGTGATACACAAAAATATCATTTTTGAACTACAAAGGCTACAAATTACAATGATCTGAAGCTTATTCATCATTTAACCAGCCAGTCAATATTTCTCAATTATTGTGAAAACAATAATAATGTATTTTTTCATCCTGAAATTTCACAATGAACAAATCATAAGCATGAATCTGCTTAGCTAGCAGAAAGCATCTAATACTGTACAAAATGAAGTATTACCTCCACATCTGATCTAACTACAATTATTATTGTAGTTAGATCAGATGTGGCTGGTTAAGAGGGACAAAATGATAATTTTATTACTTTACCATCATCAGATTTTTCTAATAATCCTATTCTCACAAATGATTTTTAGCTTTTCAGTAATACTACGGCTTTGGCACTAGAGGCCTGTAGAGGCAAGTTCTCGTCATTTTCAAACTCAGATGCAACAATAGCATTCTGTAGAAGAATTAAAAATCTGATAGATATAATGAATTCTTCATCGCCTCTAACAGGTTTGAGATATCAATCAGACAAATACAATGTGAGTATTTTTTTTGTTGAAATTGTAGTTGTGAAAAGTTGAAGAAAATTGGATTTGTTTTTTAATAAATTAATATTTGATTGAACAGAAATGTGTCTACATCCGGGTATGTTATAACAAATAAAGAATTTTCATGTATCAAATGAGCAAAGTGGTAAATAAATTTTTTCTATGGCTATAACACAACATTTCTCTTGTAATACTGTCTTTGATAAATTAATGAGGTACTGTGTATGTCA